GGGGGGGGGGGGAGCCGCGAACCTCGCCGAGCAGCGGGGAGGGAGTGGAAGTGGCCCCTCCAGCAAAGACCTTTTCGCGCTTCTTTTTTGCAAAAAAGAAAGAACTCCGGCCGGGAGGGCTCAGCGCTCCCCCCTCCCCTCCCGACACAAAGCGCGCTCCTCGCGAGTTGTGGCGCCGCGGGCATCGAGCCCGCCTCAAACTTGACCTGACGCTCGCGGCGCGGCGCACTCCCTGGGCTTCTCTGCCTCCCTCCGCCCGTCCGCCCGTCCCTCGCGCTCTCCCTCCTTCCCTCCCTCGCGCCGCCTTCCTCCGACCAAGCCCCACCTTCTGCGTCCAGCCGAGCGGCGAAAGGCGAGGCTGCCTCCCCGTGGGTGCTTGGCCACTTCGAGCTGCGGTTGCCAGGGCTCTGTCGGCCGCGCCGGAGGAACCTGCTTTGATTTGCATGCGAGGGCTCAACCCTTCCGTCTGGGGTGGTTGGCGAGGAGCGACGGAAAGGGCTTCGGAGGGCATGTGAAGCGTCCCGGGCTCTAGCTGAGGGATTCACAAAAAAACCCTGCCCCCTACCAGGAGTGGAGCCATTGGTCCCTGTGGGCCGTTCCACAGACAGAACCTTTTCTTAACGCTCTCTGGAGATGCTTCCTCCACTTCTTCTCTTTCTTATATTTAATAGCGAAGTAGCCCTATAACCTTTGCTATCCCCGGCTGGCTTTGCTCCTCCGACTCCTGCAAAGGGCGACCCCTACTTAGCTTCAGGATGAGTCGAGCCTAAGAGATGAGAAATTGCCCGTTGCAAGTCTTCATTTTGATGAGTCCCAGGGACCACAATCCTGTTGCCTGCTGCAGTAAATTGCGCTAGAGCAGGCCCATTGAAAACAATGGGGATTTGGTGAGTCAACTCTAGAAAATTCCATTGATTTCAGTGAATCTACTCTAACTTCAACTTAATTTAGTGCAGTAACTTTACCCCTACCCGTCCCTCTAGACAAAGTCTACTCGGGGTGGCTTACAAAAAATGATAAAATACAATAGAATAATATAATTACTAAAACCTAATAATGCAACAACTAACTAGTGGATATATACATTGTCAAGATGGGAAATTAAAGAACCGAAACAGTTAATTGACTGGGGGGAAGGCCTGCCTAAAGAGCCAAGTTTTTAAATGGCTTTTAAAAACACCCAGCGAGGGAGCCAGGCGGATTTCCGTTGGTATAGTATTCCATAGCCGAGGGGCCTCTGCCAAGAAGGCATGGTTTCTTGCTCTTTCTTTCCGGGCCTCTCTCGGCGTAAGGCCCTTACAAAGTAAGCCCTTACAAAGGTCCTGACTGGGCTTCTCTGCCTCCCTCATTAACTCCTCATGTTAATGAGGGAGGTCCATGAATTCAATGCACCTACTCCTGTGGGATTTACTACACTAAGCAACAGGATTTTGAGCCCCTAGATCTTGACATCCCTGAAAATGAAGATGAGATCAACCGAACAAGACACCAGTAACTGTAAATACCAATGTTTTGGGACAGTGGCCTCATGTACATCCCTGAAAATGAAGATGAGATCAACCTGTTGAACAAGACACCAGTAACTGTAAATAGCAATGTTTTGGGATAGTGGCCTCATGCTCACTGAGAATCATTTAACTACAGTACAATTAGTAGAGTGTTAGACAAGGGTTAGGGAAATCCAAATTCACATCTTTTCTCAGCCAGGACATTTGTTGAATGATTGTGGGCTACCCATTCTGTGTTTCCCTCCAACTTACCTCACAGTGTTGTTGTGAAAGTAACATTGGAACTGAACAATGGTGTTGAATTCCACCGTCTCTGTTTTCCTTTAGTTCACTAGGACTTGTTTCGATTAAGTAAAGTATCTATAAACTGTATCCTTCTAGTGCCTAATTCCAACACACACACACGCACAAAATTCTCCTTCCTCCACCTTGAGCCTAAATGAGTCCTAAATCCAGTTGCCAGATTCAGGAAGAGAAACTGTTGAAATTCCAGTGTGCTGAGGGTTAGTAGTAAAGTTAGGATTAGAATTTGACTTCTACATCTTAGATTTCTACATCTTTTATTCCCTGAACCTACTGAGAAGTGCAATGGCCTCTTCATCTCAAAGGGGCCAGCCTACTCAGTTGAAATCCTGGTTGAGTACACCACTTCTCTGCCTCATAGTTTGCTGGAAAATGACAGGGGACCTGTCCTGATATATTACACTGACCAAGATGAAGTACCCCCATGACAAAAAGCAATCTATTGGGACAATATTCATCCTAGCAATTTTTTTGTCTATAGATATAAAAACTACTTGGCAAGTTGCTGAAACTTAGGGAATTGCCTGTAGGCTCTCTAGGGTGATAATTTCATAACCATTCTATCAGAGTCCAATTCTGTTTGAATTTCATTACAAAATGTGTCTCAAGGGGGCGGGGGACTAAAATGTCTCATCTGTGAGGATGAGGCATAAATTGAGCAGAAAATCATGCAGCATAGACTGACAGAAGAATAATGTCAACAAGAAGTAATAATGCCAAGAGGTCATTCTTCTCTCTGCATGTTTTTGGCAGGTTTTCTGAATGTCTTAATACTTTATCAGAATAACACTGTTAGTGATGGTATTGTGACTATCAGTGGTGTTGCACTGAAAGCTGATACATGTTTTTGCACTCTGATTATAATGGGATTAACCCATTTGAATATCAAGATAAAGTATGATCAAATCATCTCTATCTAAGAGGACCGGGATAACATTCTTATTGTGATCTTAACTATCTGCAGTCTTGATGGTTCAAGCAGAGGCATCAAAGAGGAGATGCAAGAAACCTGTTTAGGAGGAGTCACTCCCTCCTCTACTATTTCTTACAGACATTTAGGAAAGAACTGGTAGCTGAGAGGATTTTTGCCTGCCTTCCGTATTTCTGCTCGAAGTGACAATTTTTATCATGTGTCTCAACTCTTGTTCTATTCTGTCTGGCTCTTGTTGGGTTTTTTGTGTGTGTGTGTTTGTTTGTTTTGTTTTTCTTCCTTTAAAACGAGTTTGAGACACAGGCTGAAGAAAAGTCGTAACACCAGAAGAAATAAACAGAAGCAATAGTGGCAATCTCTATGAATTATATAAGCACAAAAGACTGGGACCTGAGGGATGTCGCAACTTTTTATGCTGCTTTAGTACACAGTGTGCTTCAAGGAAAAGAAAAACATATTCTAGGTAATGAACAAAATTATCTGTTTCGCACATGTTCCCCCAAAAGCCTCCCAAGTGTCTACTCTTGTCTCAAAGCCTCCCACTAAGCATGCATAGGTTTGCCAGGTTTTTTTCATGAGACTCTTATTCTTTTCTTTGCATGTCATTCAGCCGTCTAGCATGTGATTGTTTCTCCCAGAACTGCATTGTCCTACTGGAAAAGAATCATACACTGAATTTCTCAATGTCATGCTTCTGTTAAAAACATCGCAATGCTGCCAAAACTGGCAACTCCAGAGTAGGTGTTTCTTTCTTTCGTTCTTTTTTTAAATTAAAAAACTACCTTTGCTCCTGTGTTTCTAACAGCAAATTAGCAATATTTCTTTCAGACATTGTCTTACGGTATTACTTATGCTTTTTGCACATTAATCTTCTACTGTATTAAAAGTGAGAAACTTTAACTTGAGAGCTGTTGAGTCTCCAACCAGGAGGTACAGTAACGTCCAAATTTGGCCAGAAGGACATTTAATATCAAAATAATTTCCAAGGCTCCAAACTCTATTAAGTGGGCCACAGCATCACCTACCCTGGTCAACCCCAGCCTCATCCTGGTGATTTCAGCAGTGAGCAATTTGTTGCCCATTTTAAATAAAAAATCAAGGCAATCCAACTACCAGATCAGTCAATCCTGGGGAGATCCCAGTGCATCTTCTTCCCTCTGCCTGTTTGCTTCAGTTTGGGCCAGTATCATCAGAGAACATCTCCAGGGCACTGACTCATGGTAGGCCATTTGCTTCCCTCTTGATCCTTGCCCCGCTTGGCTTATAAAAGCTGCCAATGATGTCTCCAGAATGGGTCATTAACATCTTAGGTGTCTCCTTGAGGGAGGGTTGCCTCTAGAGATGGGAGTATTTTCATACAAATACAAATATCCCCATGCAGCTGGACTTAACCATCCTCTCTGCTGCCCCCCCACGGGTCCTGCTCATCCTTCCAAATGAGCCCAGAGCACCACTGTCTTCCTGGCCACTCCAGACCGGGGGGTGGGGGTGGAGCGGAGAGGACAAGTCTCCCTGCATGGCTGCTGAGTGGCCAGCTGAGCAGGAAGAGAGTGGCACTTAGGGCATGCTTGAAAGGATGAGCGGGACGGGTGCTGCAGCAGGACACGTGAGTGGACGGTCCGGCCGCAGGAGCCAGACCCTCATTAAGTCCAGCTACATGGAGATATTCGTATTCATATACCCCAATCTCTAGTTGCTTCCCCTTATGGTTTGAGGAGACTGCTGTTATTTGGCCCATCCTAAAGCAACCATGTTTGGCAACTGATAGTCTTAGAAACAACAGACCTATTGCCAATATTCTTTTTATGGACAGAGAGGGTGGTGGCAGATCAGCTCCAGTTGTACCTGGAGGAGGGACACTGCCATGATACATTCCAGTCTGGATTCAGGCTACGTTACAATACTGAGGCAGTTCTGGTTGTGCTGCAGGATGACCTACTAAGGGAGGCTGACTGGGGAGTGCACACCTTGTTAGTTTTTCTGGCTTTTGATGCTGTTGACCACAGTTTCCTCCTGGACAGGCTTTCAGAGGTGGGGATCAGAGGCTTGGCGTTAGGCTGATTCTGAGGGCAGGATCGAGAGTGCAACTTGGGGATGATTTGTCAACTCCTTGGACCTTCGATTGTGGGGTTCTGGAGGGATCATCAGTCTCTCTAAAGCTTTTCAGTATCTATGTGAAGCCACTGGGTAAGATCTGGAGTTTGGTGTCGTGTATACTGATGATATGCAACTCTCTCTCTCTCCTTTTTGACCTCTTCCGTGGATGCCATTTGGATGTTGGAGCAGTGCCTCACTTTAGTGCTGGAATGGACCAGGGCTAACAGACTGAAGCTGAACTTGTATAAGACAGAGATCATCTTCCAGGTGTTTGTGTGTGTGTGTCTTTGATGGGCGGGGAGAAACTGTCCCTGTTGGATTATGTTAACCTCCCGCTCAGGGATTGAGTCCAGAACCTTGAAATAATCCTGGATCTGGCTGTTTCCTGGAATCCCCAGATGGCAGCCATGTTCAGGTCAGCCTTTAATCAGCTGAGGCATATTGCACAGCGGTGCCCCTCACTTAACGGGAGTGCCCCCAGGACGTTGGTGCACACGTTGGTGATCTCCAGGATCAACAGTTTCAAAACTCTATATGGGGCTTCCCTTGAGGCTAAGCCAGAGACTACAGCAAGTCCAAAATATGGCAGCCCAGCTCGTGACAGGTGTGAGCAGATTTGATCACAGCTCCCCTATCCTAGCTCACCTGCACCATCTTCAAGTTGTATCCTGGATCAAGTTCAAGGTACTGATGCTCATCTATAAATTCCTTCACAGTTTTAA